AAAAAAAAAAAAAAAGGATTGTTTAAAAAGAAAACCTCACCGAGTAGAACAAACTAAGAACTATGAATGAGATGCGGAGCAGGACCATAAGTTAGGAAAAGACCAGGACTCACCTCATGATCGGGCTGCAGTCACTTCCTTTGTAGGAGCCAGAGTTGCTACTACTCGGGGAAGAAGGGGCATAACTGGAGTGGACGTTAATGGGACTCAGCTGATTCCGGCACAGCATGGACAGCAGGTCCTTTTCCCGTGGGGATGGTGGGCTGTTGACAGATTTGTGTGATGAAACGCCATTGCTCCGCCCATGGGGACCTCGACTGGCAGAAAAGCATAAAAAAATGTTAAGATCCTGGGGCTAGAGATAGACCGCTGTGAAGCCAGTTACTGCTAAGGAAATGCAAAAGGGTCCCTGTGACTCCTGCAAACTGCCCTCGTGAGCAGCCTTCTTCCCACTCCCCGGTATCTCCTCTCCTTGCATTCTTAGCACAAACAACTCTCTGCTGCTCTTTCAAAGAATTCCCTCCCACAAATCTGTTTCTCAATTAAATCCAATGGCCTGCTAAGAACATCATAATGTAAAGAACACTGATTTGACTTGGTTTAAAACACTGATTTGGTTTAGGTTCGCTTTGGAAGCTGTTTTGAAGAGGTGGTTTTTGTTCCATTGCACCTGTTTTGGTTTAAAGATATTTGGGCTGCAGTTCTTATTGTTGTTGTTGTTGTTGTTGTTATGTGCCATCGAGTCGACCCCGACTCATAGCAACCCCTCCTTGGGTTTCCGAGGCAGTATCACTACGGAAGTAGGCTTGCCCAACCTTCCTTCTGAGGAGTGGCTGGTGGGTTTGAACCGCCAGCCTTCTGGTTAGCAGTCAAGTGCCTTAGGCATCATGCTACCAGAGCTCCTTATTAGGGTAAGAAAATTATGGTGGATCATTTGGAGGCCGGGAAGAAAGGGACTGCCCATAGAGGAGGAGGAGAAAACAGGACTAACAGCCTGCACAAGTGGATGAAGTCTGGAATTCTGAGCACCTACATTTTTTTTTCTTTATATTCTCAATGACTTAACACCACCCTCATCATTTAACTACTGAAATGATGTGATAGTCCCCTCTGGGTCCCCTGCCTCCTGCAATGTGTCCTCCATTAAGGAGGCTAAGCTTGTGGCCGGAATGGCCTTTCTAGGATGGAATTTGAACACTGTTGTCCTCCTCAAAGCCATCCAATGGCTCCCCAGTGCCTCCAAAATAAAAGCCAGACTCCTTGACCTAATTTACAAGGTCCAAGCCCACCCAAGCCATCTAACTCCATTTCTCACCCATCCTCCCTCTTCCTCTGTACTCCAGCATTCCAAATGACTTACAGTTTCCTGAAGGGTCCATGCCCTCGATCATCTTTGTTTCTGAACTTATAATTTCCTCTGCCTACAAGGTTCTCCTCCCACTCCCTACCAGGCTGGGTACCTGCTGCTTCGGGACTGATGGTAACCTACTGCAAGCAGCCTTCTCTGCATCCTTCCTTCCCTAGGCTGGCTTAGGTGCCTCTTCTTGGTGCTCCCTCGTACTCTAAGCAAAAGTCCATCAGGAAATTTATTACACTCTTAATCACATGCATTCTTGTTTGTCTTTCCATCCAGACTAGGGTGTCCTTGAGGGAAGAGACCTAGTCTTGTCTTTTCCAGCCCCACTACTTCCTACCCTGGGAACCACAAATCAGTTGCCGTTGAGTTGATTCTGACTCATGTCTGCTAGGGTTGACCTGTGCCCCACAGGGTTTTCATGGCTGGTTTTTTCAGCAGTGGATCTCCAGGCCTTTCTTCTAAGGCTCCTCTGAGCGGACTTGAATCTCTCACCTTCCAGTTAATGGCCGAGCATGTTAACCATCTGCACCAGTCACGGATTCCCAGCTTCTTCTGGGAAAGCGATCAGGACTGACCTATTAGTACAAACTACAGCAGCGACTCCTAGCTCGCAGCAGAATTCTGGGAAGATTAGGGTGGCAAGTTATCAGTACTGGGACCAGCTATTAACAAGGAAGGCACTTGCTAAATGAGTGCTGAATGAACAAGCTGGGTTTGAGAACTGGTACTTCCACTTACTGAGAATGTGGCAAGTAAGCCCACTTAATTTCTCTATCCGTAGAGGGATACATAATACCCTTGCCTGCCTTCCTCACAGAGTCGATGTGAAAATCAAATGAAAGAACGCAAGTGAGCACATTCAATAAGCTGTTAAGGGTAATTCTGCTGTAGGGTATTATTACAGGATAAACTTACTTGGACTTCCCTGTTAATCTACTTGCAGAAACTTAACACCCACTCATATAAGGAAGTATCTGGAGAATGTTGAAATTACTTAAATAGGATAACAGTCCTGTGCCAGGAACATTACTTGATGGTATTACAAGAAAATAAAAGGGAAACAAGATACCTTTGGGATAGCAGTACTGCTTTTTGACAATCCTCTCTGCAATTTTAATTACAGTTATATCCAACAAACATATCTCAAGGAGAATTGTGTGTCTTTGTGAATATGAGTATATGTGTATGTGGCTAAACTCTACTCTGTAACGATAATTACTTATTTGACATCAAATACAATTTCCACTAGCTGTCAACTCAGCAACTCACACATAAATGAAACATCACCATATTCTAAAGTTAATAGTCTTTCCTACTGAAATCATCCAAATGGGTTCTCCCTCTTTTTCATGAGAAAGGGACACTTTATATGGAACAGATGGGCTGATGGCTTTCTGACAAACCAGCTTCAGCAGCCCAGGGGTGGAAAGGGCTGCACGAGTAATTGGAAGTAACATGAACTCTGGCTTGAATTTCCATCTCCATGTTTCACTTGTACTTTTGGCACCAGCCAGTTTATTCCTTAATATGACTATGGGAACTATGGAGGACCAACCAGTACAAGTTAGGAGAGAACATAAAGAGCTCTTCCTAATTTTGACCTGAGAAGTTCTCTCCTCTTCTGACCTCATCTTCACTGAGGACATTCTGTGATCCTTTCTTGCTCTAGATGCTTTATGAACATTGCTTCATTCGCTTTTGACCATCACCCTATAAGAAGGGTATAATTACTAGCCCCTTTTCACCCATGAGGTAACTGAGTCTAAGGGAAGATAACTGGCCTAAGAACACATAGCTAGGAGGGACTCAAATCTAGGTCTTTTAACTCTACAGAAATATCACTACTTAACACCATATATGCTTTGGGCTTGTAAACAGATGCATGATTGGTGACATGCACAAGGGGAATTTGGCAAGAACTCATCTGCTACGCAAAATAAATGAAGACTTTCCAACCTATAAAATATTACCTAAAGTACAGACAAGTCTTCAAATATACATAAGGAAATACATTATTTCATTGTCATAGGTAACTTTTAAAAGAAACTACATGCTTAAAAATACCGCTTCTGTTCCTTTCGTTTAACTAATTCAAGTGCTAACACATGTGGGTACAAACTTCTGTATGACGATGAAAGCCATTTTCAAAGGAGGAGCTGAGATTGATTGTCCTGGCTGTGAACAGGCAAGTTCAATGCTGCTTCCCTCAGCCCACCTCAGTCCCTTGGCCTGGAGGACAAGAAGAATGCAGTCCACAGAGAATAGAAAGAATTCTGCTGACCCTGCAACTTTCTTAAAGTGCTGAATACAGCAAATGGAATGTAGCAGAAAGGGAGAAGTGACAAGGAAAACCCACAAGATGCCAGCATGAAGCTCTGTTCCCCAGCCCTGCACTTTCCTTCAGGCAACACACTGCTGTTGTGCTCTTCATTGTCATCATCACTGTCATCACCTCCACTGCTGTTACTATTACACTGCTGACAAAAACAACTATTTATTAACCCCCATAATAAGTTTGGGGCACTGTGTTAAAAGTTCACTTATATCAGCTCATTTATTGTGGTGGGAAAGGTGACATTATTATACCATTTTCCAAAACAGGAAACTTGGAGTCATGCACCTAATAAACACTGAGGGCTGACTGTGAGGCCAGTCCTAGCTGACTCCAAGTCCCAAAGTTTTCTTCCTCACTTCTATATGCCTCTGACCAGGTTAGGGTTTCACCTCAGGAAAGGGAGGTGCTCTGGAGTATCAGCTGAGGTGGCCTTCTTTAAGAAGAAATGATTTTTAAGCCCTTAAAGGTTGTTTTTTAAAATCACTTGTCAAATATATTCTTACCAGTCCCACATGTCCCTCTTCCCGCCCATTCCTTACCTAATGTTCCCACCAGGCTTACTGCCAGGAGCTTGCTCTCTACTGAAAACTAATTCACCACAGGAGGAGCCAGTCAATTAAAAGAAGCACAAGCTTCTATGGACTTTGGTATAGATGCTTGGCCCATCCAGAGAAGCGTTTCTCAATGCATGGTCCTGTAGGAACCAAAGACTGTGAAATGCCTGAGACAGTTTATCTCTAAAGACCACTGATGGTGGTCTGTCACAAGGTCAGAGAAAAAAGGGGAGAAGATGGATACAGAACACTGCCAACTGTGATTCTTCTTAAACCTTTGCTTGGTTATAATAGATTCTATCATAAGCATATATCTGATTTGCACAGATTATACTTAGCTCTTTTAAGTTTAATATATTTTAAGTTTTTGATCACCGGAGCAAACTGTGAATTCCAGATTAGAATATTTTCTTGAAGTCACTGGTATTACTGACATTACCTTAGAATTTAACCACAAGCCCAAATATTGAAGAAACACTTAAAAAAATTGAGTTCTTCTGTCTCTTTCTGCATTCTTTGTCACCTTGGACCACGGTATGTTCTAATTCATTGACTGGATTAAACAAGTGGCTTATTCTCAGAGAGGACCAGATCTCTGATTTATACAGAAAATGTTGACATTCATGCCCTGTGATCCCTGAGGCACTTTATTTCCAAAATTGAGGGCATTTGGGGATAGAGCCATTGTATTTTTACTATAGACTTCACTGTTTTGTTGTGTTTGTCTGGCCCTAGCTTTCTTTTTAACAATAAAACTGCATTGGGAGTCTCAGGTCCATTTATAAACTTCAGCCAAACCTTTTGCTCACCCCAGGGAAATAGGAAATATTTTCTTGCTGAGTCCTAGAAATATAAACTTTTAGAGGCTAAAGAGTTTTTGTCCAAGAAGAACTTTAAGGACGATGTCGTCCAACTGCCTTCCTACAAACTGGAACACTGAGGCCCAGGACAGTCAAATGACTGGTCCACGGTCAGGAGACCATCTTCCTCAGGAGCTCTTGTGTTTCACTTCCTCACTTCACTCCAGCTCTGCTCACAGCTCACGTCTCCTCAGGGTCTCCTGAGACCAGCCTATCTACTATTTATCATACATCCCATCAGGCTCTATAGCCCTACGCTGCTTTTTTTGTTTTAATTCAAAGAAGTTATTGCTATTTATATATTTCTTTTCTTTCTTGTCTTGCTAGAATGAATATAATTTCCATGGAGTTCTGTGTATTGTCCTCTCTCCAGAACCTGCCTCATCGTCGATTTTCAATGAATAATTAATTGTTGAATGAATGAATGAAGTTACTGGTGGGGAGGATACGGAGGCTCACAACCTGTCTCACCATATGTGACCAGTGCCACCCATCTTCCTATGGTCCTTCTCTCCTCCGATCCACACAACACCCGTGGCAAACATCTGTCAGTGCTCCGCACACTGGCCGGGCCCTTGATGTGTATTCACTCATTTAACTTAACAGTAAACCTTATGAGCTGGGTATGGTTATAGCCCCCTTGGAGAAACTGAGGCATCGAGAAGTTAAGCAACTTGCTCAGAGCTGCGATTCCAACCAGGGTGACACAATGGACTGTGGCTCTATTACCTCTTGCCCTGGTGCCCACATGTCTACGGACTTTATGCTCCTTTTCTTTCCTGACTCAGGAGGATTTTAGGAGCAATCAGGGTCACCATGCCTTTACAAACATAAGTCAGAAGGTTCACAGACGTGACAACAGTCATGAAGGGAGGTGGGATATGGGAGACCAGAGGCTGAATGGTCAGGAGAGTACACAGGTGAGAGGGGGAGAGTGGGAAGAGGAGGACGAGAGGAAACAGTGCCAAGGTCTGGACAAGCAACAGTCACGGGTGGACAAACAGGCTGAGCTACGTGACCACAGGAGGCAAGGGAGGGAAAATACCAATTTCAAGCCATTGTTAAAAAAATAAAAATAAAACCTAACTGAATAATAGTAAATATGAGTGAACAGTGATCCAGCTGGTCCTATAGAAACAAGAGGTACGCTAAGTCACCTGTGTACAGTGTTAATAATTACAGAGCTGGGGACAGTGCCTACTTGCGTGAGACGGAAGACCGCTTGTTTCCTGCAACAGACATGGGGACCTCAGGAGCGGAAATGCTGCCGGTGCTGCTTGAGGAGCTAAAATCGGCTTCACTACCTGAAAAACAATAGGAGAGAAAGAAGCATGAAGGAATCGAAACCCAAGGACGCGCTGGCCAGTTCCCTGCAGTGGACAGCACGCCCAGCTCGCTGCGTCACACTCTCACTCTGCACATGGCAGGATGCCAGGGCTTCCAGGCTTCCAGGGTTTTCCTCCAAGCAGAGAAGATGAGGCACAAGGACCTCATTTCATGAACACAGCTCAGAAGCACAGCAAAGCTGGTGTCAGAACAATGCTGCTGCCCCAGCTGGCTATCAACAATGTACTAACCTGCCCGCTTCTCTGCGCAGCAGGCTTACGGTCAATGGCACCCACGTGCTGGCCCAAACGTGAAACAAAAGGAGAAGCATGCTTCTCAGTCAAAAAGTAGCTTTTCCTGAAAGACTATCTGTGGGCTTTTGTAGTCTGGAAGCTGGCATGTTAGTTCCAGAGACAGTCGACCAGTTTAAGCAGTTCAGGAACAATGCCCGGGCTCCAGTTGACTGCTGGAACCGGCACTCTCTGATTACTGACTTTCTTGGCTTCATTTTTTCTATTAAGATCAGAAACTTAGTAGAAAGCAGCAATTCAGCATTTCCAAACACATGAAAAAGGTTTACAGTGACTGTGATGGTGCCTGCAAGTTTTAGTTTGGTGTGGGATTGAGAAAGTGTTGTTCGTAAGTTTACAAGGATCATATGAAACTTTGAGTACAGATTGGAGTTGAGTGTATAATGATATAATAGAAACAAGCTGTGTGGTGGAGTCACTAATACAAATTCATTTTTAACAACAACAAAAATACAGAAATATACCCATGTATTGCCTGGAGAAGTAAGTGAGGAGGATGGGGCACACAAGATAGAATAATGGAAGAAGAAAAAGGATCTTTTTTAAAAAAGTATTGAAATTGCACTTGCTTTTGGAAAATAAATCTAGATATGTGATTTTATTTGAGCTGAGGAAAATATGAATAACCTAAATCCCTGAAGTTTATAACAAGCAGTGAGTAATAACAGTAACCACTTACCAAGTGCCTGTTGTGGTATAGGCACTGTATTCGAAATGCTAAATGCACTATATATCATTTAATCTCGAAATTCTTGTTAGGCATTAATCTTACCATTATTCTACTATTGAGGGAAACTGAAGCTCATTTGCCCAAGACTTGCAAGTGAGGAAATGCACCAAATCCCCATGCTACTTCAACGACACCAGGTTGTGTGTCCTCAGGAAGGCAGTGGGAAGGAGGGGGAAGAGGGGAAGTCCCTGAACATGCTACCCTCATCCTAATAGGTCAAGGTGAGCCATAGGCACTAACTGTGGCTAGACTTTGGCCCATTGGTGAGCAGATTCCTCTAACTGAAGAGTTTGATTAATTTTACTAGAGGGAAAGAGAGGGAACAGTAAGGCTGAGAGAAAAATCCATTTCCTGGCTTCCAGAGTTTCTGGGGCACCTCTCACAAAGCCCAGGATTTTCTGGGAAAGAGATCAAGTGACTTTCAGCTCACAGCAAAAATCTGGGAATATTAGGGTGGCAATTTACTAGGACCAAGACCAGCTGCTACTCCTGGATTTCAGATACTTTGTCTAATGATGTCAGGAGCTCCTGGAAGCCCCCTGATCTTAATTAGTTGCCTCTGATAGATGCACTAGCTAGACTGTAGTATTTCACAGTATCAAGGATGCATGATTCACACTGGTATCTAGCATCATGCTTTTCCTGGCAGACTAATTCAGCCAGCCTTGTCTATCAGTAAATATCGGGTTGCCTATGAAATTATAAAGGTGGACAATTTCCAAAAGTAAATCCTGCGGGTACAGCAGGTTTAAGGTATAATTCTCTAATGTAAAATTATTACTCTGAAATACTCAGTTTCCATTCTATACAAAAACCCACCAATTACCATTTTTCTGCAGAAAAACAAAAGTTCTAGGACAGGAAAAGACAACTGCTTGGAAGACAATGTTACCTCGTGATGCCTTTGATCTGAGGCAACTACATACCCTAAACCCAAAGGGCAAGTTTGTTCTACATTTTATTGCTACTGGAATTCAATATGCTCATGACTTTGCAAGGTCTACGGTCATTTGATTCCAGTACTTTTCTACCTTACCTTCTGTACATCTGAGAGAGATTATCGAATCATTGGGGTGACCCTGCAGGTGCATCCTGGACTATTTTAGTAATGTTGTTAGGTGCCATTGAGTCAATTTGACTCCTAGCAATTTTGACTCATGTGACACAACAGAACTGCCCCATGGGAGCAGACGGCCAGGTCTTTGTGCTGTGGAACCACTGGGTGGCTTCGAACAGACGATCTTTCGGTTAGCGGCCAAGTGCTGAACCACCATCCCACCCAGGCTTCTTACTTTAGTGATGAGAGTGACATGCATATGCTACCGTACTTCAGTTTATGATTTTAAGAAACATAAATATTTCCAGTTTGGTCAATTCATTATTTTTTCAGGGTAGATGGGAAAGCTTATTTTAATTATCACCTGATAGATCCTCCTTATCTACTAAGCAGAGTAACTAAAAGGGAGACTAGAGATGGAAAAACCCTCCAGTTACCTATTAGTTGGCAACAAGATACAAGGAAGCAGAAGCATTCTTACCCATTTCCTTTAAGCAGTGTATGCAGCTAGGATACTACGGATGCTATAGTTCAGTGCTCTTTTAGGTACTAAAATCACACAAGGAAGAGTACCTAACCTAAAAACAGTGGCTCTGAGTCTGATTTCTGGGCTTCAAATCCACTCCTGCTGCTTACTACATAGAGGACCTTAAGCAAGTTATTTTACCTTTCTGTGCCTCAGTTTCCTAATCTGCTATACCAAAAAAAATCAAAACAAACTCACTGCCATCGAGTCAATTCTGATTCATAGTGACCCCTCCTTGGGTTTCCAAGGTGGTATCTCTACTGAAGTAGATTGCCCTGTCTTCCTTCTGAGGAGTGGCTGGTGGGTTTGAACCACCAGCCTTCTGGTTAGCAGTCAGATGCCTTAGGCACTACACCACCAGAGCTCCTAATCTGCTGCATGGAGATGATAATCACAGCACCTGCTTCAAAGGGTTACTATAAGCAATGAATATATATGTGTGTTTATACACACATACACACACACACATATGTAAAGTGCTTAGAAAAACACCTGACTTCCTGTAAGTTCTAAATCAATAACAGCTGTTACTTTCATTCTGCAAAGGTTAAACAGATAACTTTTATTACACCATCTATTCCTTTGTAGAAATATCAGAAAATAGCAATGATCAAGAAGGAAAAATAGAGTCCACAATCCCATGGCCGAAAAATAACTACAGTTAACCTTGTAGTATACAACTGTTCAGCATTCATACTTAATATGTTATTATGTAATCTACTTATTTTTCTCTTAATATCTAAATCTTTAAAACATAGCATATTTTGTTTTAGTGTTTATAGTGTTTCTCTATTATTAATAATTAACATTTACTATGTGCCAGAAACCATCCTAACCCCCTTATACATATTAACTCATTATTTCTCATAGTAACACAGACCATGTGAGATAGGGAAAATGATCGGTCCCTTTTACAGATGAGGCAAAGAGAAGTCAAGTGATATGCACATTGTGACATGGCTAGGAAGTAATGGAGCCAAAACTGGAACCCAGACTGTCTGACCTCACAGCTCATGATCTTAACCCTGGCTTAACACTCAATGAACATCCTTGGGCATACAATCTATATCCTTGCCTGATTATATCCTTATAATATATCCCTAAAAGTAGAATTGCTAAATCAAAGGATATGTTCAGTGTAAAGAGTTTAAGTCTCATTCCATAGGGAATTTTAGATGGTGCTAACCTAAAGTAGCTTTTGTCGTTAAGAAGGTATTTGTAGCCATCTGGCTAGCATGTAGGCACCAATGGGTAAATCTCTAATGTCACAGAAAATCTATGGCCATTGAAGATGCGTGCTGATAAAACTAAACACAACTAAAATATATGCATACCTAAGTCATCCTCACCAATACTGTCTTTGTTCCTCCTCATTACTGCATTTGATCAGCTGCGTGAGTTGGTGAAGTGGGATTCCATTAGTGAACGCAGAATGATTCGTGGGTAAGGACACCTGTTTAGGGAAGTGAGCTTGAAGAATGCCTTGAAGATATCTTCTGAAGCCTAAGTCTTGGTCACTAAGCATCACACAGCATAAGGAACATTTCCAACTATCAGGAAGCTATGCTTGCTGGTCTCCAGAAATTCTGGTGCTTTTCTGTTTGGTAGTATCTTCGGACTCGCTTGAGAGGTGGTGTTACTTGTACTCATATTAGGGTAATAAGCATTTTGTGCATGGTTGTTAAGGGCAGGGAATTAGAGGAAGAATAAAAATGGAAACAAAAAGATTATGTGCAAAAAACGGATGGCTAGAGTTGTTTGAAACACTGCCCGGAATCTGGTCTCTTAGGATGTTATTATTTTGGTTTTTGCTCTTGGGAGACCGTGGGGTGCTCAGACTTCAGAACATCACATAGCTCAGCCTCAGTTCTCAAGAGTCTGAGAATGGAGCAGTATCAAGCCATTCTAAACCCTCATTTAAATATCCCCAAATCCTCCTTTAGCTTTTGTCCTGCAAAGCTATCAAAGTCATGCAGGTTGACCACCTACATCCCCATTCCAAGGAGAAGTAGCAAATTAAAACAGAGAGAGGAAAAGAAAAATCCTTCCACTCCTTCCTTCTATTCCTCATACAGAGATCTTTTATTTAAAGGTCTCTAGGGAGAGGAGAGGAGCCATTTTCAGTGAAGCCAAGCAGAGCTACTAAGGGGCAGCCGGAGCAGTGGACACACATGTAATTACAGAAGACAGTGGTAGAAATTACTCTAAAATATATTAAGTGGAATTGACTCTTAGCTGCAAAGGTTTGCGAATCCTAACCCAGGAACCTAAGAAGTACTTCACAGCCTAAAGAGGGTTTTTGTTTCACTTTTTGCAAAGCACTTTCCTGAATTCCCTATAGGTGTTTATCTTGG